TTTTTTTTTTTTTTTTTTTTGGGAAAATAGGCTTAACTGGTCAATTTAGTCTTCCCCCAATTCTGTCTATATAAATATTAAATATTATACCATTTTTATATTTTTTATATATGTAATATTTAAATTTTGATATTTATTTAAATAATATTCCATATCAACCTATTTGCATAAATATGTATATTTCATCTTTGAAAATTAATAATATATTACAAACAATTATCTTGTTTGGACAAAACTCTTGATGCAAATTTATCCGAGAATCTTTCAAAATTTAGCTCCTAATTATTTTGAACTCCAACTTCAATAAATTTGTAGTCAAAATAGTAAGTTGGATAAGATGAAAAGTATGATCCAATTCAAGTTTAAATGAGCTTAGATCAAATACTTAGAGCATAATTAGAAATGATGAGATTAACTGAAGTATTAAACGCTCTTCGAATTTTGTATACTTATAGTAAAATCGAGCTTCTTGATGAGATGAATCCAACAAGCGCATATCACTTACTTCTAACATCGTTATGTTAATTAAGTATTAAAAAAACAACATAGGATTAAGTGAATTAGTACAGCTCATCTAATGAAGTGCTTCAAAATTTAGTAATATTTATGGGGCATGTCATTATCAAAATCTATAAATAGACCCATGATGAGGACCCAATTCAAGAGAGCTATAATGTTTGGAGAATCTCAGAGCTTCACATATGCACTATTATTGGACCACCGTCCAACTACCGTCGTTGGACCACCCTTATTGGACCACCATCATTAGATTGTCATAGCTAAATAACCAATTGATTGCCACTGTCAAACCACCACACAACTGACATCATTGAACCACTGATCTTTAACCATGGCCATTTGACCATCATGTTTGACTATTGTGCCTTTGGATCAACACTTGGAAGCCACTACCGGACTACCTCCATCAAATATTCACCATCAAACCTCCATCATCATACCACAACCACCTTATTATTGGAACTTTGTCATCAATAGACAATCATGATCAAATCAACATTGCCTAACATCTATCATTGCTTAGCCTCCATTGCTATACCCCTATAACCTAGCTATAGTCATTTGACTACCTCTCATCCTTTACTGACTCTATGATATTTTTCACCAACAAGTCATACTTGTATAATCTCACCTTCTCCAATTTTGGGACGGGTAATAGTTTGTTATCATTTCCCACCTAGTGAAATATTTCAATTGGGATAGGCTCTGTTTCCTAACCTTCTTAGGTTTTTCATGTAAGAAAATTTTGATGTCTCATATGCATTTTCTTCTATTCGTTTTTGTGTGAAATATTCATGCAAATCTATGATGTCAAACCTATCTCACTCTATTACTGAGAATTTTCTAGTGCTACACAATTTGCACCATCCATGGGAAATAATCCTAGCATTGTAAGCCCAACAAGCTTCTATTTGATGGCCAACAGGCATAATAATGACAATAATGGAGCCTACTGATCCAACAGTACTCATCATTCCAAGAACCAAAATTTAAACAAGGGACAATACACCTCTCGATTTACAAGGTATGCCAAGCTTTTCTTGGATAACCGCATTCATAAGATGAAGGAGTTATAGTTAAATCATTCATCTCATACAAGGGACTTGATAGCTAGTACCAACGCAACGTGAAGGGACCCACCTCCCTAAGAAATAACTACTAGTTAAGATTATCAAGCTTGAGAATGCCTGTAAAGAGCCCTCTCACCATCAAGCTAGGGTTACTCTTCCACCAAAACAAGATGTTGATCTACTCAATGTGACTAGCTCTACAAATCCATCTCATACAACTCTGCCAACCCACACTCCTATAATAAAAATGGAGCTTGGTGTCATAACCCAACTTGATAAGATCCATAAACGAGTCAAGTACTATCATGTTTGTTCACAACATGCCGACCCCAAGATTTGAGTTTTGGAATTACTAAGAAAATATTTGATACAAGAAACTCTTAGTCTCTATGATGTCCCAACCATATTAATTCTTAACTAATATGGAACATGTGAATGTGTGATGATAGTTGGTCTAAAAAAATATTATAAAATATATTTTTATTATTATTCATCTAGATGACATACTAGATTTGATCTCATAAGCAATTTTTTTCTACAAAATTGATCTAAAAACTAATTATTTCCATATTTGAATTTGAGCATGAGATGAATGAAAAATAACTTTAGAATCCTTGATGGATTTTATAAATAATTCTTAATGTTCTTAAGACTCTAAAAAACCCTAGTATATTAATGAGGCTAATGTTGTCCTTAAACTCCTTATAGGAAGTTATTGGTTGTACATTGTAGATTTTAGCATGCCATTTAAGTTTCATCTTGGCAAATTTTGTGCACAGATAACAACCATATTATAACTAAAGCATATAAAGTTTAAATGATGATCACATAAACATACCTTCTAGCTATATTATTTTAATTCCAATTAAAGGTAAGGCTTTTATTTGTTGAACACACCTTTTCTATTAAAGAAATCTAAATAAAATTTTAGGTTATGTTAGGTTTGTATAAATATTAGGTTGGGTCATTTTAGTGGTGGTAATAACTTGGATAAAAGAAAAATCCTATAGAGTTGTCAAATAACTTGTAATTTTTTTATGTTTTTTTAATGAACTACTAGATAAGAAAATTTAAAGCTTTGGCATAACAATAATAATCTTTATTGAAGGAAATGAATCTTATTTTCAATTTACATTAAATTATTCCATTCTTGAAAGTTCAAATCCTACCATAAAATTTTTTTATCTTTGTCAAATGACATGTGTACCTTCAAGCTCCTTAATCTTGACTTCTTTGGAGCTCGTGGATATAATACCACTATAAAGTAGGATCAATGGGATATTATTGGTGAAGGACACAGCTTGATTGGTATCCCCTCAGGTTATGATCGAATAGTTATTTGGATGGTGGTAAAAAAAAAGAATTTTAATTTTGGATAGATTTGGGCCTAAAATTTCTAGGTTGTCAAAATGTGATTTTTCCTTGGATTAAAATAATGAGAAACTCAGATCAAAGAATCAGATTTCAAGAAATTGATGATGGCATTCTTATGGGTTTTGGATCAATGATTGAGGAGTTATGATGTTTTTAATTTGGTTGTTTAGAGTAGATACTCGTCTCTCTATATTAGGATTTTGGCTCTGGTATCTAAGGTTTATTGGGGATTTCAAGACTTGAAAGGTTATGAGGAATGCATAGGAATATTTTGGAGAGTTTAGAAGACATTGGATGGGCTTTCGGGTTGAGACAAGCTATGCTCGATGATCTATATAAGATAAAAATTGTATCAGAAAAGAGGAGTAAAGTTAGGTAAGGATATCTAAGGACTTATAAAATCCCTAGGGGATAAGGCACCAAGGTAAATGAAAGATTAGATCAAACATTTTCATGCTAAATCTATATAAGAAAAAAATCAATGAATAAAAAATTGCAAAGTAATGCATATTCTAGACCTAGACAACTTTGGAAAGTCTTAGGAGCTAGTAAAATACTATTTAGCTGATTGATGAATTTTTCTAATAAAAAGAAAAAAAAATAAGAGGAATAAAATAAAATTTAAATATTTTAAGAAAATTTGATTAGTCAAATAAGCAAGTAGAGTGGTCTTGAAATAAATCAATTTATGTCTTCTTGACTGGTATAGCCCAACTACTCATCAAAGAGCCTTAAATTAAGATTTTTAATTATTCTCCCATGATTAAAATGATTATGAGATGTCCATGGGCTTGCATGGAGTGTTGTGCATGATGAACGACTCAAATCTTGATATAGAGCCTTGGTTTGTGATCTAATCCTTAACATTTATCTTGGTGCTACATCACTAGCCTAGATGATGTAATTCATGGTTGTTGATGTAGTGCTCATATGTTGGGTTGAGTTAAATACCTTTATGACTAAGTGATTTCAAACTTGATATCTTAGGATGATAGATCCCTAAAATGTTGACTAGGCCATTTCCGTTGTTCTCTAAATTCCTTTTTTTTACCTATCAACCTTTTGAGCATTTCATACTACTCTTAACATTTTGGTTATTCAATAATTATTATCATATAGGTTTTATATGTGAACAAACAATTATCTCACTTTGTTATGGTGATTCACTCTATATTTGGATAATTGTCCTTGAATCATAGTTTATATTTGATGTAAACAAGAATAAGAGCATGTTCTCTTTATCAAAAATGTCCATTGAAGATATCATTGACTGTAATTAAACTTATATTGTTTAGTTCTTTAGAAAGGTTAATCAACCAATATTCTATACTCGACTTGACTTGACATTAACTTTGACTTTAGTGATATGACTTCTTGGGAATGACCTATCCTAACTATTATTCATGATGTTTACAATTTTCATGAGTTGCCCATCTTTTATAGGTGGTTCATCCATGAATTCAATACTACTGTGGCCCTAATCACCATTATTTGAAGTAATGATTGTGAATTCAATGCTTAATGCAAATCCTTAATGGTGCCACAATCTACTTTCATGAGAGTTCATGCTTTACTCTGTTAGAGAAAGCATTCTAGTTTCATTTGGGACATTTTTTTTGTTGCTTCTTAAAGCACCTTTTTAGTAGAAAAATTAAAATTTTTATATTATAAAGTTTCTTTAAGAAGCATGCAAAAGTCGTCCCAAACGAAACCTCAAACTCTCCTTTGCTTTTTGAAAGTCTTGAAAACTCCTACATTGCGAGATCTGCATCACTAGCTGGATAAGTATAACATGTTTAACCAACACCAAAAGAAGGTAAAACCAGTTTTATTAAGGAAAATAAATATAAAATTGTGGCAATCACTTTCTATGAACACTTTTCACACATATTTTGAGGTCAATCATCCTCTTACTATGTACATGTTTGTCCTGGGAATCCTTTCATTGGCATAGATGATCAAGATGATGAAGAGTTATGGAAGATGAGGTTATTCACGAACCTAA